GAATCATTTTATGTTCAGGATGACGATCATGCATGGTGGATAGACTCGGGGGCGGCGAGTCATGTATGTAAAGATCTCTCTTGGTTCAAGGATTATGAAGTATTAAATAATGGATCAGTGTTGTGCATGGTAGACCATAATAAAGCACCTGATTTTGGTTATGGTTCGGTGTCTTTATGTTTTACTTTTGGAAAAAGTATTCTTCTTAGAAATGTTATACATGCTCCTAAGATTATGAAGAACTTGGTTTCTGGTAGTGTAATATTTTAATTAATAAGTGTGGTTATAAACAAGTTTATGAATCTGATAAGTATATCTTATCAAAATATGTTACATTAGTTGGGTTTGGATATTATTGTAATAGTATGCTTAGATTAAATGTTAACGACAAGGTTGCAGATTCTCTATATGTATGGCTTGTTCTCGTATTGATGATTCTTCTTTATGGCATGCTCGTTTAGGAAATGTATATTATAAAAGAATTCTTCAAATGTCTAAAATGGATTAATACAACCTTTTGACATTCACATAAAGAATGTAAAACTTTCATGCTGACTAAGATTACTAGACAACCTTTTCCTAATGTTAAAAAGAATTATGTTATCTCACGAAGGGTGCATGTAACAAATCCATTTTTCATGGTTTATGTTACCTCACGATAGTCCAACCATCTCCCATCTGCTCTACACGGATGTCGCTATCTTTGTTGGAGATTGGGATGGATGTAGTATTTGTAACCTTGCCCGAATTCTTAGATGCTTTCATGTCTCATCGGGATTAAAATATAACTTCCATAAATGATGTTTATTTGGTATTTGTATTTCTTACTCGGAGAACAAGAGGTGAGCTCGACTTCTCGGATGTATTAACAGTTCTTTCCCCTTCAAATACTTGGGTGTACCGGTAGGTGCCAATATGTCAGTGAAAAAGAACTGCAAACCCGTTATTGAAAAATTTCAATCTAAGTTATCAGTTTGGAAAGCTAACATGTTATCATTTAGTGGGCGTTTAACATTGATCAAAATCGTCCTTGGTAGCCTTCCAACTTTTTATTTCTCACTATTTAAAGGTCCACCATGCATTATCGAGATTCTTAAAAAATAGGAGAAGGTTCCTCTAGGGAGGCAAGGGAAATCATAATTTCATTGGGTGTCGTGGTCGAAAATCCTTGCTTCCAAGAATATTAGAGGACTTGGTGTTGGCTCTCTCCATGCCCAAAACATGTCTCTCCTCACCAAGTGATGGTGGCGACTTAGAATGGAAAAGAACACCATGTGGAGGGAAACGATCTATGGCGCTCATAACCTCGAGAAGAAACTGGTAGATTATATTGCAAAAAAATCACCCACAAGGATCTGGTGTAACATTACCAAAGCCGTGAACAGCCTCAACACTCTTAATACTAACTTAAATGTTATTTTTTCTATTATAGCAGGTCAAGACGGGCGAGTATTATTTTGGAAAGATTTATGGTTGGGATCCTGCAGTTTGCAAAACCGATTTCCTGCCTTATATCATCTCGAATCAGTTAAGGGGTATTTATAACCTAATCAAACCATCAAATCCCGTCTTTAACCTACGCGAAAAGCGGAAGCTAAGAGGTTGTTTGTTTTTAAGAAAAAAACCTTTTCAGACCACTTTTTGTTGCATGGCACAGCACACGTGCAACATTTGACCTTTCGCAGCAGTTTTTTTTTTTTTTTTTGAAAAGCTTCATACTACAAAACCTCTCCACATTTTTTGCGCGACCCAACACTTGATTTGTCTCTTCAAATCTCTTCAACTTTAACTTTTTCCAAATGATTTTTTTTAATTTTTTTGAAATTTGGTATAACTTGATTTTTTTTTTTTTAACTTTGATTTTTTTTTTTTAACTTCTGATTTTTTTTAAAACTTTGATTTACGGATTTGATACAATTTCTTAAATAGTTTCCACAATTTTTTATAACTTGATTTTTTTTTTTTTTTTTTTTAAAAAAACTTTGGTTTTTTTTTTTTTTTAATTTTTTTACCATTTCTTTTAATAATATTTTCAGTTTCGGTTGTATCTTTTTTAACATGTGTGATTTTTTTTACAAAATTTTCTAGACATTGTTTGCAATATTTTCTTACTTTTTTTATAAATTTTTTTATGTTCTTTAAAATTAGTTTTTTTCTAGAAAAAAATAGATGACTTCTTTTACATTTTTTTAGAGTTTTTTTTTTTTTAATTTTTATATATTTTTACATGTTTTTTAGTATTCTTTTAACGTTTTAAGACTAGAATTATTAAAATTTCGATATCGAGAACTATTTTCGGTTTGTAAATTAATTTATTTAAATTTCAGTTTATTGCAGTAGCTTACATATGTTAAAAAACAAACAAACTTCTTATTACAGGTTGCAGTCGTTTGGTCCACTTTTTCTGCTGTAGAAGGTTGCAGATGTGGTCCGCAGACTTCATAAATTTTCACCACAAAAGAAATACCATCTCAAAATGTTCACAATTGTTTTTAATTCCAATCGAGCGCAAATCTTACAATTGTGTTTTAATCGCAAGACAAACAAATGGTTAAATCTTTCAGAAAAATGTTATATTCCACAACCAAAGATCATTTGAAAAATGTTATATTCCACGACCAAAGATCATTTCCTTGAGAAGCTTTCTTTTTTTAAAAAGGATTGAAATCTAGTTTTTGTAATCGAAGGTTCTTAAAAATCTATAATGTTTTCCCAAGATTCAAGGTGCTTCTATAAGCATTACTTTTCAAACCCGTCATTATAAGTTATAACCGTAAAAAAATGGGAAAATGACTTATCAAGGTAATTAACTTTTCGGTATGTTCACATCTGGGTAACTATTTTTTTTGTATACATTTAGGTAACAAACTTGTTGGAAGTGTTTACATATGACCATTATGACCTGCTGTAACAGGTTACATCCTAGATGTGAACACTTTTGACAAGTTCGTTACCTAGATGTGTACAAAAAAAATAGTTACCCAAATATGAACAAAACGAAAAATAAGAGTAAATTACACGAATGGTCCCTGTGGTTTGGAGGAATTTGTGTTTTTGGTCTCTAACTTATTTTTTTAACTCGGATGGTCCCTACTATTTATTTTTATTGCGCGTTTGGTCTCTGTCTTACCTAAAAAGACTATTATGCCCTTATTAATTTATTTTTTGATTAGTTTTCTTATTTATGTATTTATTTTTTTTATATTTAAAAAAATTAATAGACCCCACATATCTGTATCTCCTCGGATGATCCCTACTGTTTATTTTTTAATTAATTTATTTTTTTAACTCGGATGATCCATACTGTTTATTTTTGTTATGTGTTTGGTCTCTGTCTTACCTAAAAAGACTATTGTGCCCTTATTAATAAATTTTTTTAATTAATTTTCTTATGTATGTATTTATTCTTTATATATTTAAAAAAATTAATAGACCCTACGAGTTAAAAAAATAAGTTAGGTAAGACAGAGACCAAACGTGCAACAAAAATAAACATTAGGACCATCCAAGTTAAAAAAATAAGTTAGGAACCAAAAACACAAATTCCCCCAAACCATAGGGACCATTCGTGTAATTTACTCTTACTTTTTTTTTTGTTCATATTGGTAACTACTTTTTTTTGCACATCTAGGTAACGAACTTGTTGAAAGTGTTCACATCTAAGATTCAACCTGCTACAGCAGGTCATAATGGTCATATGTGAACACTTCCAACAAGTTTGTTACCTAGATGTGTACAAAAAAAAGATAGTTACCCAGATGTGAACATACCGAAAAGTTAATTACCTTGATAAGTCATTTTCCCTAAAAAAAAATTGAAATAACCTTAACCCAATGATCATTTGGTACAACGGGCTTATTCAGCTCCTGTTACAAAAGAGTCTAATATAACTTCCTTTCCATCGGGTTTTATTGGGGTTCAGATTCCACAATCCTCAACAGTCTCATTGCTTAGCTAAAGTTTGTTCTAAAAAAATTTCCAGCAAGGTGAATCAACTAGAATAGGTAATTCAACTTCTTCTGACAATAGATTGCTTGAGCTATGAAATGCACGGATGTAAATGAGATTTTAAAAAAATTGATTACCAAGATTGGTGTTGTCGATGGTAAAATTTGAATATCATATCATGTGTGTGGTGTTGGGTCTTACAAGAAAAAAGGGTGGATTAAAGATCTTTGCATGGAAAATGGAGTATTTCAGTTCGAATATGTTATTTATAATGCTAGGGGTCGCCGGGTGGTATCATCTCCATTTGGGATTAACCTTTATTTGTTAAGAAAAGTATTCATTGAATCATTGTACAGATAAATTCTTGATTGTGGAAGGAAAATGGGTTCAATGAAATCCGAGATTTTACATGATTAATGTTTACTCCCTGCTTCGATTAGTTCTTTTATGTGCCAAAGACAATGTGTTTTTGTTCTTCTAGTGATTTTACTGTTGTTCGACATACTTGTAAGAGATTTGGATTGGTGTTTTGTTAAGCGTGTGAAGATTCCTTTAATTCATAACTGATTCATCCTTAAATGATATTCCTTTGTGGTTGTAGATTCATACGGGTTAACAAACATGGAACAAAGATGACCAAATCGGATTATTTTTTTGGTTTAGAAGACGTGATCGATATGCTCCCTGATCAGCAACTTTTGTTGGGTAGGAAATGGTCGGACCATATTCATGAGATAGTCCTTCAAAAAGAGTACTTGGATTATGGACCTACGCCTTCTAAATTACATAGATATTTGATGGGTTCTATGAGATTATCAAGAATAGTTTGTACAAGTTTGGTGGTATGAGCTCAACTAATAACACATCCACACAACCACACAAAATTTGACCTTCATGATCTTGTTCTTCGAGACACCATCACAAAGAAAAAAGAACATAAATATAACTTCATGAAAAATAATGTAAAGGATTCTTTTGTTTTTTAATGGAAATCTACCAATAACCATACATGATAGATCATGGATTCAAACTTTTGTTGCAGGCCCTCATGATTATGCAATTTTCTTGTCCATGTTTGTAAAAAGCTGAAATCTCCAAACCAAAAAATACGCGAAACCAAACCCAATCAATACATACAACCAAATTGCATCATCCCCACTCTCGTCCTCCAACCTTAGCTTCAATATACTAAACTCATCCCTTTGTGAATTTCCCATCATGCCCTCGTTCACATTACCATATAACACATAAACCCTATCCTCCGCTCCTACAGTCACCGAGGTCGGGAAACGCCCTGTATCAAGGACAATCTCGTCATAAACCACACCATCACTCCAGCTATTGGAACTCTTGATGAAGTATAGCTTGTATTGTGATACCACCAACAGAACGCCATCACTCCTGATGGCAATTCCATCAGGGGCATTCAATTCCCGGTTTAATTCTATCTTTCTCGCTGTTCCATCTGTGGAATCAACTTTGTATAAGTTTCCCGTGTTTGACTGGGAAACAAGGAGGTAGCCTTGGCTAGAGTAAGCAATTCCATTCAGTCCACACGCGCTGTAGGGCGAGTCTGGAACTGGTGTTTTTGTGAAGATGTTGGATTTAGATAAAATAGAAGCTTTACCTTCAAGATCAACCTTCCAGATGAAGTTGCTAGCGGAATTGGTTACGAAGGCATTGCCGGAGTAATCAACGGTGACGTCGTTGGCCCCGGAGGCGGAGTTGGTGGAGGCGGCGTCATGGAGGGTGGTGAGAAAGAGGCGGTGATGGGGGCTGTGTAAGTTGTAGGCGGCAAGGGCACAGTTGGAAGGTTGTGAACGGGGGTGGACCACCGCTAGGATACGGTTGTGGACAACGTCTACTGTGATTCCAAGGAAAGAGGAGTTGGTGGGAATGGAATTGTCAGAGACTAGTGTGTTGATGACACCGGCATCGGAAACAGAAAGGAGAGTTGGGTGGCGGAGGGACCCAACTATCAAGTGTTGGGCTGTTGGGTCCCATGAGAGAGACTCGGGGTAGAGATTGGGTGACCGGAAGTTGATTAAATGGGCACTTGGAATTTGGAAGAGGCTCAAAACAAGAGTGGTGAAAAGAAACATTGACATGGTCATGGTGAAAGACATGAACGTTTTAGATGAAGCAGTAGTTTAAATTATTAGATAAGCTCAACCTAAAGAAAGATGAAAGATCAGTGTTTTTTTTAGATAGCTTGATGATGCGGTGAGTTCTCTTGTAAAAGAAGTTAGCATTTAGTCAGAGTCAAACCAAAGCTAAAATGGATTTTCTTCTTTGTCAAGACAATCAGGGTGTTATTATTATTTTTAAATACTCCTTCCGTCCCAAAATTATAGTCCATCTTTCCTTTTTGGTTTGTCTCAAAATAATAGTCCACTTCTAAAAATAAATAACCTTTTTACCAAAATACCCCTCATTATTACTTAACCAATTAAGCATTAACATTAAATGCAAAGTAAGAACAAAACTGTCATTTTATTAAATAAAGTTAATGATAATTAATGATTTTCTTAATATGTGTGTTTTTTTGTCTTTGGACAATAATATTGGGACGGAGTGAGTATAACACAACCGACCAATCAGGGTGTCACATTAAGTGGGTAAGACAGCCTTTTCAAATTTCATGATGATCAAATCTGTAATAAAATTTTGCCAAAATAACCATATCCACAGTTTTAAAAAAATTTAGGGCGTGATTGACAACGAACGTTTGTGAACTTCTAGCTTTTAGGTTTAACCAAAAAACTCAATTTAAAAAAAAAAAAAAAAAAAAAAATTGAAAGTAAGTTTAGTTTAAACAAAATATTCAAATCTAAAAGCTACTTCTCTCTACATGTAGGTTATTACATATGAATTAAAATTGTTCAAATAACCAAGTAAACCAAATTGAATAAACCAACAAATGACACCTAAAAATAAAATTCAAAACAAACAAATTATTACGCCATCCACAACTTGGGAAATGTTAGTTATACTAACTCAAAAACTTTATGAAATAATTCTCGATTATCATATATATATTTTCCCACACAAAAATAACAAACGTTAACTAGAGAATAAGAAGTTTTGCTACACAAAAAACATGTTATTACAACATAACTCAACTAAAAAAAACGTCTAGTAATTAAAACTACAAATTTTCCAACAATATTTGCTCTAGAAAGTCACAAAAAAAAAGAGCATCTGTCAAAAAAATCTATAAAAAAGCATAACTTCATGAAAAACAATGTAAAGGGTTCTTTTTTTGTTTTTCAAAAAACACCTACAAAACCATATACCTGAAGGATTCGAACTTTTGTTGAGGGCCCTCGTAATTATGCGATTTTCTTGTTCATATTTGTATAAAGTTGACGCATTTGAAATCTCCAAACCAAAAAATACGCGAACCCAAACCCAATCAATACATACACCCAAACCGCATCACCCCGGCTCTCATCCTCCGACCTTACCTCCAAAATACTAAACTCATCCCTTTGTGAATTTCCCATTATACCCTCATCCACATGACCATATAACACATACACCCTGTCCTCCGCTCCTACAGTCACCGATGTAGCGAAACATTCGGCATCAAGGGCAGTCTCGTCATAAACCACACCATCACTCCAACTGTTGTCACTCTTGATAAAGTAAAGCTTTTCTTTTGACACCACTACTAGAACACCATCCCTCCTGAATGCAATTCCATCGGGGGAATTCAATTCCTTGTTTAATTGAATCTTTCTTGCTGTCCCATCTTCGGAATCAACTTTGTATAAGTTGCCTGTGTTTGACTGGGCAACAATGAGGTAGCCTTTGCTACAGTAAGCAATTCCGTTTAACCCGCAGGGCATTTCAGGTATTCCGGGTGTTTTCGTGAAGGTTTTGGATTTGGAAAATACAGACGATTTACCTTCAAGATCCACTTTCCAGATGAAGTTGCTGGCAGAATTGGTCACGAACGCGTTTCCGGAGAAATCAAAGGCGACGTCGTTGGCAGCGGGGGCGGTGGTGGTGGAGGTGGTGTCATGGAGGGCGGCGAGGAAGAGGCGGCGGTGGGGGCTGCGTAGGTCGTAGGCGGCAAGGGCAGAGTTGGAAGGTTGGGAATGGGAATGGACTACTGCTAGGATACGGTTGTGGACAACATCTACTGTGATTCCAAGGAAAGAGGAGTTGGCCGGAATGGAATCGTCGGAGACTAGTGTGTTGATGACTCCGGCATCGGAAACAGAAAGGAGAGTTGGGTGGCGGAGGGACCCAACTATGAAGTGTTGAGCTGTTCGGTCCCACGAGAGAGATTCAGGGTAAAGGTTTGGTGACCGGAAATTGATTAAATGGGGGGAGCTTGCAAAAGTTGGAACTTGGAAGAAGATGAAAACGAGAGTTAAAATCAGTATAGACTTGGTTATGGTGAAAGACATGATTGTTGAAAGGTAGTCAATCTGTTTGATCTGGATTTTTCTGTAGCAGTGGTTTAAATAAGCAGGTAACTCTTAACCTGAAAACAGGGATGAAAGATCATCATTGGTTTTACTTTAAAATTCCAAATTATAAATTGATTAAATTCCGTAAACGTCATGTTTCAGCATAAAGCTATGGAATTGAACACATAAATTAACAAGGATCTGAACTATGATACTTATGCAGGTCATTAATCGAGATCTTAGAGTAATCAGTCTAGTCGATTCGCCTCTTAACTGTACCTCCATTATTGGAACAAAACACATAAATCATACTTAATTTTGATACTGAAATTATGATTAAACAGGTAGAATTTATAAAAAAACGGTTTATTTTCTCACTTAATAGTAACCATGCCTCTCGTGGTCTTACTCCATTGTTCCATCAATATGCCCAAAAACCAAAGATTAACTTTAAATTGATTGAATACAACGCATATTAGGGTTTCAAACCTGATATTGGTGTCGAGAAATCGTTGATGCTGCGATCTAGGATTCAGCGACTGTATAGAAATCAGCAACTTAATAGCCGATTAGATTACAGAACTACTACCGAGAATTCCAATGAAATTGGCTATAGACAAAAAATTAATATAAGTGGGATATGTTGATCTTCTTTGGTTGTAATGTTCATCTGTTCAGTCGCAATTAGCCTTTTGACTTTTGGCAATTCGATTTGGAGTTCGAATTTTTGCCGTCTAAACTTTGGGTGATTCTCAAATTTGCCCCAATAGTTTTGGTTCTTTGAATTCACACACCATATCTTCGAATAATTCTTGTTATGGTTTAATTTTCAAACTTTTTATATTTTCACGTTTGGTGTTCAAACGAAGGTTTTCATTTTATAGCTTTTGGACTTTTGATACAAATCCAAGTTACTAAAAAATATTGTTTATGCCGGTAGGAGTTATACCTAGGGTGCAAACGAGCTGAGTCGAGCCCGAGCATGGTCAGGTTCGGCTCGGGCTCGTTTAAGTTATATAAGGCTCGAACTCGAGCTCGGCTTGATTCGAACTTTCTTTTATTGAGCTCGACTCGAGCTCGCAAAGAATCATACAAGCTAGGTTCAGGCTCGAGTTTGACTCGTTTTTTGTCTAACGTGCCTAAACAAGCTTAAGCTCGATTCAAACTCGTTAAGAAGCTCATTTATTAATACCCTAAATCTCTAATTTCACAAATATTTTTTTATTTTAATATATAAAAGTAATAATAAATTATATTATATATAGGTCCGTTTAGGCTCGCGAACCTAATCAAGCTTAGTGACATAGGCTCGAGCTCGAGCTCGTTAATAAATGAGCTTAACATTAAGCATGAGCTCGTTTAAAATCGGTTTCGAATCGAGCTTTTAACGAGATGATCCCGAGCAGCTTACGAGTAGTTTGATTCATTTGCAGCCCTAATTATACCATATATACCATAGTTTTGCACTATCATATCATCGTCAATTCATTTTCTTTTTCTTATCCTACAAAACTATTGTGTCATACCACATTTTACCAATATTTTTTTTTCTTTTTTTATTTGAATAAAATGTAATTAATAAAAGGAAGACACTTCATTACTTTAATTAAAAGGGTTACATACCTAAAAACACAAGTAAATAAATAAAAAATACATAAAAACGAAATTTTTTAAATAAAACACTACTTGTAATATTTTTTTCATGATGTCCGTTCTAACCCTCAAAACCATTTCGAGCTCATTTCTAATGAGGTGATCGAAAGGCTTTGTTAAAAATTTCATATCCCGACTTTTTTGTTTCTCCTCTCGAGCTCGTTCTTCTCCTCCCTTGCTCTCTTTTTCTCCTCCAACTTCTCCTTTTTAAAATTCAAACGACTCTCAAAATTCAAATTATAAATTTTCAAATACTAGTGACTCTATGTATTTCATCTCCTCTTCCTGTTCTCAATGTATTAAATGATGAGTCGTATGTCTTTTGTCAAATGACGAATGAGAAACTTATTCCTAAACTTTTTGTGTTATAGAAAGAATAAGTTTTCATTATTGTTAGGGAAAACAGACGATACTTGTCAAGACTCAAAACAAATCTGATGCCACTTGCCAAGTTTCGATGACCTTTGTTCAGAAGTAATGCGGCTAACAAGCAAAACTATAAGCATACAAAAACACAGTATTTACGTGGTTCAGTCAATGTGACCTACGTCCATGGGCATGAAGGGAGTATTCTTTATTTCAAAGTTCTCAAACAGAGGTTACAAGTATAATTCACCATAGATTCGTCCGACTTACTAAGGATACAAAAGACAAGACACAACAAATGACTAAGCAGGCATCCCTATTTATAGTTGCGGGATCAGACCTAAAACCTTAATGGGCCAAGACCATAGGGCTATGAAAAGTGACAACCAATCATATTCCACCATGCCACATTTTCTAGAACATTCTTCCATGTCATACAACTCATGAGCATCAACAATACATGATGGACCACCTTTACCATAGCGGAGCATCATGATGCATAGGTGGTGCATTATAAACACTAATGGTCCAACATCCATCATGGTGACACAACATAGTGTATTTCTTGAGCATCATCATCTTCTAAGCATACTTGGATCATCATGGCACAACAAAGGAATCAAGATGGCGCATCATGTACCAAGTTGGTCCATGATGGCGCATCATGTACCAAGTTGGTCCATGATGGCGCATCATGTACCAAGTTGGTCCATGATGGCGCAACATCTCCTACATGGCGCAACTTTTCTTCTTGATGGAGCAACAACATCTTTATGTCTCAACATCTCCATGGATCAACATCTTTACTTGGCTCAACATATCAGATGATTTGTTCCTTTGTCACTTGCTCCATGAACCTCAAGTGCTCCATTGAGATCTAAGTGATCCAAATGCTCCATGAGAATGCTCCAAATGCTCGAGTCACATTTAACAATCTCCACCTTGACTTGAGCATCCTCTGAACTCCACCTCAAATAAGAACTTCCTCTCCCATCCTGCCATCAAGTCCCGAATGGGTTTACCTCCTGCAAACATCAACCAAGTCCAAGCAAAGCTTGAACTTCTCTTTGGGCAACGACCTTGTCACCATGTCCTTCGGATTCACCTTGGTACCAGACTTTTGAATGCATAACCTGTCATAGAACATGATAGGTTTCTCCAGCTTCAAAAGAAGACTCTGAACAAGACCAACTGCCAATGATCTTCTTATCTCTAGGTCAATTTCATGGTCCAAGTTTATCAATCCAACCAAGTCCATATGTCGTGCATTTGCACCATACACTAGACAAACATTTAGCGTTCCCTTCAAGTGTCGCAAGATCCACTTGACCACTTCCCAATGAGATTTCCCACGATTGCCTCGAACCACCAAAGAAGTACCAACACGTTTGGATTTATCACGATAGAACGACCGCAAGACTTTCTCAATGTAATGAGAGATCTATAACCATCATGCTCTTATATCACTCCAAATCTCCATCCTTGTTATCTTCTTTTCAACTCCTAAATCATTCATCACAAGTTCATTCTCCAGAAGCTTCTTCAAGTTGTCTTTCCTGGCATCAGCATCACTAGACACTTCTTCCCTGGGTTGATCAAGGGATTCCTCACGCCTATGTTGATCCATGCCACCCTACTGTTCCATATTTATCACAAAACTGTGTGGTGTTTCTGATTTGAACTCCACCTTCTAGCTAGCACCTTGATCGTTCCCCATAACACTTGTACCACCTCCTCTCTAGTTACACATAGCAGATTCAAAGGTCATATATCTGCTAATAACGAATTTTGAATACTTTTCTTCTTCTATACACCATAGACGATGACCTTTCCCTCCAGATGCATATCCTAGAAATATGCATTTCGTTTCCCTTGGTTTTAGTTTACCATCATTCACACGAGCGTAAGCAGGGCATCCAAACATTCATAAACTAGAATTCTCATAGAGTTTCCCAGACCACATCTCTTAAGAAGTCTTACAATCAATTACAGTTGATGGAGATCTATTCGCCAGATATCAAGCAGTGTTGACTGCTTCTGCCCAGAATTGCTCTGATAAATCAGCAGATAATCATATGCACTGAGCATGCTCCACCAGTGTTTGGTTCATATGTTCTACCACTTCGTTTTTCTGCGGTGTTAGTTGTACAATGTGATGCCTGACTGTATCTTCTGTTTTGCAGAAGTTGTCAAACAAAGCCTTGCAGAACTCCAACCTATTTTTTGTTCTGAGTGTCTTGACATGGTTCTCAGTTTGTTTCTCATCCATCGTCTTCCACTCCTTGAACTTCCCAAACACTTCATCTTCATCCTTTGTCTACAGAATTTACACCCATGTCTTCGTTGAGCAATCATCCGTAAAAGTCATAAAGTATTGATATCTACCATGAGACTTCACAGGAGAGGGACCCCATAGATTTGAGTGAGCACACTCTAGGATCTCCTTGCATGAGTGTTGAATGAAACTGAACTTCACCCTGCTTTGTATCTCTTGAACACAAGCTTCACCAGGTTTAGCATATCCAGTTGCATCTCCACCAAACAACTCCTTCCAGCTCACATGCCCCAAATTATGATGCCAAAACTTCCTTTCATCATCATACTGATCCAAGGTTTAGGATACAGTCACCGTTCCCCCAACTGTACAATCACCTAGAATATAAATCCCATGAGGATTCATCATTCTCTTCATAACGACAAGAGCACCCTTGGAGACTCTTAACCAATCACCTTTTCCAGAATACTTTAATACATCCTTCGCCAAAGTGCTAATAGAAATCAAATTCTTTCGAAGCTTTGGGATGAACCAACAATCCAGTTTCCTGACCATACCATTGTGCATCTTGATCTGCACCGTGCCACTACCCTTGATACTGCTCACCCAATCATCACCCATCTTGATTGTGACATTCCACTCTTTGAAGGAGTCGAACCAGTCACGATTGCATGTCATATGATAAGATGCTCCAGAGTCCAGG